CACAAGGGTTGGACTTTTCTAGCTTCTCCTTGCCTGCAGTATTGACACACACATGACTATTAAAAAAAGGCACCTTGTATTTCTTAAGCTGTGTCAAATCCTGAAAGAGTTCTTAGTGACTTTCTTAGGGCACAGAAAAACAAAGGGAAAAGTTTAACTCAGTGAAGCGCCCACTCCTGTTTCTGAGTCTCACAGTGAGTGTCGGTGCTTTGTTTGTCTTCCACAATAATAGGCAGAGAGCTGGATTTATTTGATATTTTTCCCTGCCACATAATTAAACCCTTGAATGGATAAAAAGGAGAAATCAATAGAAATTGAACTGAAAGAAAGAGGTAGACATGTAAGGCTAAAATGTATTCCTAATTTTATGTCTGTTTTGGAGTTTGGTCAGACTTTGGCCTGAGCAGAAGAAATGCCCAGGAAGTTTGGACATGGAAAGACAGCTGGGACAGACACCATGCAGTCTCCTTGCCATCTCTTGAGGGATGCGGCCCCCTGTGCAGGATGTGTAATCTCTGTGCAGGCTGAGATCCATATAAATATATTTAATAAGTATCATTTGTTGTTTCTAAAACACAGAACACAATGAGTCCTGCCAGGGATCTGTAGCCCATGATCAGAGAGAAATTTCTTTTTTTATTATTAGTTAAGCATTACTTCAGTATCAGCTGCATATGCACAGCTTGTTAAAAATTTTTCATGTTCTAAAAGTAAGATAACTTTAAGGGGTTATGCTTCAAAATCTCTTTGCTACCCTTTAGAGTTTGGTTATCCTTCTAAGAATAAAAGAATAGCAAAGACTCATGCCTGTCAAACATCCAAAAGATAAATTAGTACATACGGATTTATTGACTTCATTTCACTGATAAAACCTGCTTTTGTGAGTAGCAGTTGTCTCAGCCCCTTGCTAGTGATTGGAATGTTGTGTCCTGCTGACAATTCCAGTGCTGTCCCTGGGGCCAGTGTGCAGCTGTGCAGCCCTGGCACTCCTGAAGACCTTGCCACATCTTTGGTTTTGGCACAAGAAATTAAAATATTATTTCTGTACAACTTCCAGGGAAATGATAATTCAAACTCTCTTTGGTCCCTATGTGTAGACTTAAATTTATCATTTTAACATAGGTCAATTTTGAAGTTGCTGGAATCTTCAGATATAACATCTTTAGTTTCTGGTGTTTAAAGGTTCACAGCAGTAAGCTTTATTATTTATTCTTGGAAGATTGCATTGACAAAAATAGAGGGTAAACTGAGATTTGAAGAAAAATCCAGAAGATGAGTGCAATCTTGAGAGACAAAGTGTGGATGAGTCCATGAGTGTGTTTTTCTGTCTCCTCACACATCTTACTGAAGTAATAGAAAGGTACTTAACACAATGTTTTCCAAAGATAAGGGAAGACTGTTAGTCTCAGAGAGTTTTTTTCAAGCTAATACAAACTTCCTCCAAGTGTGCATTGGTGCATGAGCCTGGCTATGGAGTAAGGACAGTCAGCTAGAAATGTCAGATTACTGTACACAATAAGTTAATTTTCAATATGTATTTATGCCATACTTCTTTTAAAAACCAATAACTTTATATTTTAATGATAGGCTTTTCATCCTCAATAATTCAAACATTTAATGTCATGTCAAATTTTAGTTTCCTTTTTAATAGTATAAACTACATAACATGCATGGTATAAGGGAAATATTTTTACTCTCATATATTCCAAAACACACTTTAAAATGTTTTCAAGTACCGTTTTCAGGGAAATATGAATTGCACAGAATATAAATTTCCCTGATTATGACTCAGAACTTATCTAAACCCTTAAAGGGAGGGGAAGGTACACAGAGAAAATGCTGTGCTCAGTATTGAACCTTAAATCAGACCAAGTATTTGTGTTCCTATTGGCTGTCATGAATCTGAGGCCGCATTTCTCATTCCAGCTTTTTTTAGGATGGTCCTAATGCTAGATTGCACCATACTTAAAAGAAGGAAATAAATTTCTAATAAGAAGCCCCTGAATAAGGATTGAGAATAAAACAGTTGCCTGCCCACTTAAATGAGGGCTGGGTCCCAGCTGGGAGCTGGGAGGAAGGTGTGGTGTTTTCTGAGGGTGGGAAATGCCATCAGCAGGGAGATTTTCCTCATCACTCATGCCTGAACTTCATGCTCTGTAGGGTTGGCAGTGGTTTTCATAAACTTTCTGAACCAGTGACATCAGGAAACAGCCAGAAGCCACGCAAGTGGTTTGGTCTTGTTGTTATTTTGGAGTTTATTTGTAGGATTTGTTGCTTGCACTACAAATAAGCTGTATTGTTTGAGCTACCAGTAGAGGAAATGCAGACAACTCAAAGGTGCACACTTAGTTCCAAATGCTTTTTGCTACAGAGTGAACTTATAAGTTGCATGTGCCCTTCTTCAGTGTTGACAACATACAATTAAAGAGCTGCATATGGAAACCTAACTGAAGATCTTTTCTTTTTGATGTCTGTTCAGGATTTCCACTGGTGCTAAGTTAAAATTGTATCTATCCCATGTCTAAAACAAAGCAGGCTGCACAAGCTAACAGATAATTGTAATTTTTATCAAGAAAGGCAAATTTCTGAAAAATCTGGGGGTTGTCCCCCTTATTTCCTTTTATGTCTTTTGGCAAAGTGCACTTGATTCTTTATGAAACAAATTTTGCTTTTTTCATTAGCGCTCATGCTTGACTAGAAAAGCCACCGCTGGCAGGTGTGTGAGCCTGGGTTGTGTGATGATTAGCAGGAGGGTAATGAATCAGCTTGTGCTTTCCATCTGTGGGATAAATCAGGGGCTCCAGCTGCACGTAAATAGTGTGGTGTTGTTCTGTTTTATAGCATTCTACCAAAACCCTGTGCTTAGGAAAGAAAGAAAGAGATTTTCATAATCTTCAAAAAGTAGGGATGGGAAAACTTAATGTTGCTTTGCTTTCAACAGTCTAAAAACTATTTTCACCAGGTTTTGTAAAAACCCTTTCTTGGTTCATGATCTTTTTCACTTCTAAATATGAGTGCTATGTAAAGCTTTTTAATATGGTGAGAAAGCATTTATTTTTTTCTCCTAGACTTCATAAGGGAATAGTGTAAAAACAAACCCAAATCAAACCTTTATATTTTCATAAAGGCTAGATTAAATTAAAGCTTCAAAAGTTTTGAGTTCTGCTCAGAAATTCTGATTTTTTATTTACATTGCCTCTTTGTCACCTTGGAAACACTGTTCTGTGCAGAATAGCACAGTGGAAATGTGGGTCCCAATTGCAGTTCTTAAATTTCTACTCTGCAAAACATCTCCCAGAATTTGCAGATGTAGAGGGAAACTTTACCTGTGAGTATTTCAGTCTTTTTTTCCAACTTTGGTGTTTACATTTGTTAACATTCTTGTTAACAAAAGGGAAAAAATGACCTTGGAATGTACATATACATATTGCTCCACAGACACCTTCCTGTAATATAACAAAAACCTTTCCCCATAAGGCAACAAAGAGCACTACATGAGCAATACCGACTCTTGTTGCTGATGTATTAGGTCTTTCCTGACACTGATGCAAGAGAATAGAGAGAGAGACACATATTTCTGCAAAGCAATAATTCAGCCCAGAATTTTAATATAAAGAACACCAAGGCAGTATCCTGTTATCTGAATTTTAATGACTGTATCTTTTTTATCCTGTCAGTTGTAGCAAGGATGTGAGAGGCTTCATGAAACATTAATGGCTCTAACTGCAGTCCTCTCCATTTCCTTTTTTCTCTCTTTTTTTGTTCTCCTGATGTGATGTAAAATATGAATTTGTGCAGTGAAACTGCTTTCTGCACAGGGCTGTGTTGCTTGCTTGATCTTGCAGCAGTGACTGTGGTTCTTGTTTGGGCTGGGAGCTTCCACACCAGCTGCCTGAGGAGAGGGAAAGGGCTGGAGGTGCATGGAGAGATCTTGCTGATGACAGAGCATAAACAATTTGAAATGCAGTCCATATTTTAGGGACTTTCAAATAAATGGCCAGCAGGATGTTCTGCCTCAGTCTCGTCTGTAGGCTGCTGGTTGCTGGCTGGATGAACTGTTCAAAAGGCAAAAAGCCACAGGGAATGTCTCTCCTCCTCAACCCCCAAGAAACAGGACTGAGAACGGGGTAGAGAGGGACTAAACCCAAAGTTTTCAGGGCTCATCGGGTGCAAGGGCACACCAGAGGATGTGGAGATTACTGTGCATGCCAGGCACTGCAGCAGGGCTGCTGGGCAAAGTCCTGAAGGATAATGGATTCCTCCAACAGCCAGTCTCCCAAACCTGAAACCTGTGCACGGGGGTGTCATTTGACTGAGTGCTCTCACTTTAGAACTTCCAGAGGAGCATTGCAGGACAACACAGAGTTCCCAAGCCTAGTGAAGAACCCTAGAAGCAAACAAGCATTGTTTAACACAGGCAAGTGTGTTTGGGATCTGTTGCAGGCGCACAGTTTGTGGTGATTGGGGTGGGGCTGGCCCAGTCTCATCGCCATGGGCACAGCTGTGAGGAGCAGGTGAGCAGCAGTGACAGCAATGAGCCAGGGAGTGCCCAGGGCACTGACCAACCACCAAAGGGAGCAGAGGCACACAGGTGCAGTGCATTAACAATCAGGGCTATAAAAGGCTGGGCTAAAGGGCAAGAAGGGCCTGCAGATGCCTGAAGCCTTCTTTGGTGTCGGCCGTGCCTCCGCTGGAGTCCCCACAGGAATCTGGTATGTGAGGTGCTGCAAAAAGCAAATTTACCTGCTCTACGAGGTGCATGATAGGAAATGCTCTTGTTTATTCAGAGGAAGCCTGTTGCAAACATAAATATGCATTTTGTGATGCCATAATATAGTGACTATAACATGGCAACAGCAGATGTAAGCCCTGATGGGTTTATTTTCAGTCTAAGAGAGTATGACACTGATGTGTTCAGTGAGAGGGTGTCACCACACTGCTGTGACGTGTGTGTGTCATGCTGTCTGCCATTCCCTGGGACTGGGATATTTGCTAGCAAATGTTCTGCCCTTCATGAGCCTCATCCTGAGAAACAAACCCACAGGGCTTTGGGGAGCAGAGACACCAACATGGCTCTCCTTTCCTCTCCATTCCTTAGGCAGCTCCAAGAGTTGGGAATAGCCTGACCTCTAACAGTTTCTCTCTTGTTGTTTCTGAAAAAATGTCTTCTTTTTTTTTCAGATGGCAAAAATATGGCATACTCTTCCAGAAGTTGGAGAAAAATTTTCTTTGCTCTGTTGGAGTTTGTGTCTATCTGGAGGTGCTGGATGAGCTGGGGATATGCTGAGTGAGGCTGAGACCTTCTACTGTAAGTACATTTTAATTAAAGCAGGGGTTTATGTGGAAAGGTGAACACACATCATCTCATCTGCTTTGTTTTTCAATGAGCATTCTTTCAGTTTTCTGTGATTTTTCTGCTCTGGGAGCTGTGAGGAAGGTTGGAAAGGTGCACTGGATGTATCATGGCCTGTGTGCATCAGGTGTATGATGGCCTGTGAGAAGGAGCTTGGGATTTTGTACAGTAAATAAAGCAATATTTAGTAACAGCACTGGTCTTTTAGCCCTGAGTTTGGTTAGCATGGCCACACTGAACAGCTGGAGAAGCAAATGGTGTGGCAATGTAGTGTGCTGTTTAGCCATGGACCAGTGCAGTCTGCTGCTGTCCACAGAGCCAAACTGATAAAGGCAGGTGTTAACAGCCCTGATGCATGCTTAGATTTTATCCATTACTATTATCTATTTAGAAATAAGCTTGCAAATGAATAATTGAGTTACATTCTCTGTGGAACAGACTCGACTGCTAGTATACTGCAGAGCTTTGATAAAAAGAACTGCAGAAAAAGTGAGACCCAAAAAAAAGTCGATGTGAAATAAAATTTAGTTCACTTTGACTATGCTAATTAAGGGAGCTTACACATTTCACCATGATTAACTGAGATGCAGTGGTAGAGCTCAATATACGTGGGAGTTCATTTAATTGTCTGCAGTTCTATCTTTTTATTTAACAAATGCTTCTTGATTTAAATGGAAATCTCTAATTGCAAAATGATCCCTGATGCAGCATGTCACAACAAACACATACATTCTGTTACAAAAAGAAAACTTTGTCTGTTTATATTATTTTCATTATTGTCCCAGGCTTTCTTAATTCTTCCACTTTCCTTCGTTCAGCATAAAGTTCACAGTATGTCTGTCTGAAACAGTAACAACAACAACAAAATGGGATGCCTATTATCAATGAATCAGTGGCATTTACAAGTCGGATTTAAACAAATCTCTGTAATAATTGTGGATGGTTTGTTTGAAATCTGAGTTTTCTTCCTGATAGAACCAGGAAGAGTTTTGATGGAAAACAGAAAAGGTGACATTTCATGCTAGTTGACATTAATGAGCTTCCCTGGACTCTAGAGAAATTCTCCTTATTGCAGAATCAAGGCCAACATTAGGAGATTAAGGGTTTATATGACAGGCAGTTAATAGAAGGATGTTTGTGGGAGGAATGTCTGGTTTTCCTAGAGTAAAAAAAAGAGGGACAATATGATGTAAAGGAAAGAAAGGGTAAAACAGAAAAAGACAAATAAAAGGAAAGGGAAAATCCTCCAAAATGGAGTAGGCCAGTCTGAGGATTCCTATGCACTGCTGCTTTGAGAAGGAGACTGGTTTTGCATGCAGTATAATTTGCAATAGAGGTACCCTGTGCCTGGCTTGGTCTGTCCCCTCAGTGCAGCAGCAGAAATCCCTGCCTTTACCATTAATCTGGATTCACTGGAAGCAGTACACACAGGAGAAATGCTTCTGTTGCTGTGATATTCTTTGAGAAAACAGGAAGCACTTGTAATGGAAAACATGCAATATGAATGATAAAGAGGGTCACTGAGGTTCAGTCCTTCAGAAAAATGACCTTCATTTGTTTTCTAAGTATGAACCGGGAGGGAGATAATATTTCCCCTGTGTCAAAGCTGGTTGTTCTAGAACTAATGTGAAAAGCCCAAAGTTGGGGAAACACATTAAAAGGAAGGACATGACAGCCAAAGAATAGAACACAGACTGAGACAATACTTCCTGTCCTATTTATTAAATGCTATTTATAGTTTCAGCTAAGAATATACATGCAAGGCCTGATCATATATAGAAAATCACAGCACATTAAAAGGAAAGTTTTCTGATTCTATTTAGGACTTTATTAATAACTGGCAGCTTTATCACAATATACATTAATTACATGTAGAGCTACATTTGCATAACACCAGCTGCCATTTAAAGCAAAAACACACTCAGATGTATGGTAGATCTAAGCATTTTGTTTGGATTTCAGAAAATGTGCCTGTTAGAAGATTTAAGTAGACCATGAAATAAGACAATTTCCCTGCTGTTTTTGCTATGTAATTCATTCAGCACAGACGATTAGGAGGTACAAAGTACCAAAGGAGTTATATTCTTCTTGCCCTGTGGTCTCTGGGCAGTCTGTTTTCTCCACTTGGCATTAAATTCACTGCAAGGGTACTAATCAGTGTATCAATGTGGTATGTTCAGAATGTTCAATTGAGGTAGGGAATTTTGGGGGTTTCTATTTCCTTGGATTTTTTTTTTTTTAATTTTTTCCTTCTCCCTCAAATAGGAAAATAATGAAATACATATGTATATATAATTAATCTTTCATAGTGATGAAAGTTTCTTTGTCATTATGCATAAACCTGTGAATTAATGTCTGGCCAAGATGTGTAATATTTTAAATAATAGTTGACTGTGGAGTCAGGAGGTGTCATTTGCCTCAGGACAGAGCAGAGCTCCAGGTCTGCCCACTATGAGCCATTCCCAAGCTCATTTTAGGTGCTATGGGGTGCCACATCCTGCATCTGTCGCTGCTTTGCAGCACTGCCAATGGAGCCTGCACATGAGGCAGGGCTGGCTTCCAGGATCACTGCCATCACTTTATGCCTCTGTGGTGGAGCTCCTGCTTCTTCCTGAGTTAGTGTGCTGAAATGTTGACTTTTCAGAAATTCCTGGCATGCGAATAAGTGTAAGAGTAGCAAGGAAAACAGCAAGTGTTGATGAATACATTGGTTGCTTCCAACTCAGCTGCTGAGTATGCAATGCTGTTGTTTCTGACATACTGCTGTCTTGCATAATACTTTTGTATTTTTCTTTTCCTTGCACTGAGAACAAGTGATTGTACTTATGGGCCTGTGTGTAACTCATTCACCATTGCACAGAGCACTGTCCCCAGAGACTCTGAGCTGAGCTTTAGGTGTCAGGTTTGAGTGTGTTTGGGGATCTGTCATCTTCACACAGCTACTATTCTCTGTACCAGATTTGTTTTAAGTATTTTCCCTTAAGTGTTTCTGTTGCTGAAGATCAAATTTTCAGGTCAGCTGGCCATTAAATCTCATATCCCTTGTTTGATTTCTATTGAGAAAACTCACCAGCTGAGTTGCTCCAGGTATAAATTGGTGTGATAGAAGGCAGACTTTGTCCCTTTCCTTTTTAGCCAAATTGTGTGCTTCCTGTGTCCGGAAAACTCTAATCTTTCCTCTTTGTGACTTCTTTGATACTTACCATGATCCCCTGCAATCTACAATACAGATTAAATAATCCACTTTACTTGCTGCCTAAATGATGTAATCTTTAAATACTTGTGCGGCTGTCCAGATTGCTATGTCAACAATTTGCTGTTTAAATACTCCTTCTGCAGGTGAAATACATGTAAAACTGATGCTTAAAAAACACACGTAGGAATAGGTGCTCTCCTTAAAAACTGAACACACACAGAATCACACACAGAATAATGAGGTTGGAAGAGACCTCTAAGATCATCAAGTCCAACCTATGCCCTAACACCACAACTAGAATATAGCACCAAGTGCCAAGTCCAGTCTTTTTTTAAACATATCCAGAGATGGTGATTCCACCACCTCCCTAGGAAGACAATTCCAGTATTTTATTATTCTTTCAGTGAAAATTTTTTTCCGAATACCCAACCTAAACCTTCCCTGACACCTTTGCTCCTGTTTGTCTCTTGCCTTTCATTTTTGCTTTCTAAGCAGTGTGCTTTTCTGTCCAGTCCTTGCACATTATTCATCCTTTTCACCTCATTTTCAAGGCCTTCTTCTAAGCTTGGAATTCTCCCTTGGACCAGAACAGTCTGCCACCACTTTTTCCTCCCAGACCAGTATTTAGTGCTAATTCAGTACCAGGTTTCCACTGCTGATCAAAAGCTCAGAGCCCTTTGTTCAACTTGCCTATCTCATATTAACCTGAAAATGTAACTATCAATGTAATCTTCCTTTTGAGTCAGCTGGCAGAAACTGATCTAATAGGCTGGAACTGGGAAAGGATGGTGCCTGGTGGCCTGGGCTTGTGCACTGTATTCCTTTGCACTTACTTAAATGAAATATGTTTCATTTCAGAGCTCCTGAAAGTGAGGTATTAGCTGGGTCCCAAGTAAAATGTACTCTGGGTGCATCTTGCATCAGAATGTGGAATATTCCATGCTCCACTCCCTGGGGCTGTCTGGCACTCTAAACAGCAGTTGTATGTCTGAATTTATGCCAGGAGCAGGTTAACTGCAAGGAGAGAGGAGATCAGCCCCAGTTAATCCCTGGTCCTGAAGCAGCAGCTCTTACTTTCTTAAAGCAAAAATTGGCTGTGCAAGAGGCCTAATCTCTGTGTTAAGGATGGTATTCATGTTGAATATAAGTGATGATAAGCCTGGTGAATATATGGCAGAGTGCCAGGGTGACACCAGCCTTTTTCTTGCTCTAGGAATCGGGAGGGTTGGCAGAATGCAGGGCAGACGTTTGCTGTTTATTCTCATTTACTAATGCCTATCCTACAGTGAATGGAAGTGACTCTGCCTTTCTCACCAAGTATCCAGGTATGCAAACATAACCCCTGACAAACCAAGCAAACAAAAATTAAAATCCTGATGGAATCTGTTACAATGCAACACATTTCAGTTAATGAAACCATACAGATTCCTGAGCCTGCCTAATGCTCACCCAACTTTCACAGATGGTTACAGCAGGAAATTTTCCTTGATCTGGGTTCAGATTAGGGTTTAGGTTCCCCCACCCTACGATTTTTTTTATCTCAGAGAAAGCTATTTGAGAAGATCAGATATCTTTAAATTCCTTTTTTGCTAAAGGTTTTGGGATGCAGAAAAATAACCTGTAAGCACTTCTGTCTACTTTTATTATTTCAGTCATTTAAGCAGCTATTCTTAGGTTCAAGCAAACAAAGATTTCCTGTTTTCCATAGTTGCATAATTAATCTGTAAGAACTTTGACATTTCAAAGACTGTGCTGTTCC